GGGAAACCTTTCCCCAAGGTGTGGAAACCTGTCCTCTAAACATGGCAATCTTCCCGTAGTTTTGTCGGAAGTCTTTGCTCCCTTTTGGCTTAAATGTGGGAGTGGGAAACCAGGTCGCAGTTCCTTCACTCAATACTCAAAAACATGTCTTCCCTGAAGGGGCCTGGTGGGGTTCGCTGAAAACATGGCTAAGGTAGTCTTGAACGTTCGTCATGTTCATTGTCGGTAAAGACTAAGCATCCCCACCAAATGCTCTAAACCACCCCACGCCTTGATCTGGGTTAGCTATGCTCGAGGTTGCTACTGTAACCTCGATGAAAGTTCTCTAAGAAGTGTTGGGGCCCCTCCTGAAGCTGACACCAAACTCGCATGCGCTAGGGCCGTAAGCCCAAAGCCCCGACAATGAAGGCCCCCCCAAAGAGGGCCATACCTGGAGGCTCATGAGCACTTATAAGTAGGGTTCTAAGTACCCTAAATACAAAAAGTACCCTAAATACAATTATAAACATAGTTACCCTACTTCTATCCCTATCTATCAGTACCCATTTAGGCCTTTAACGTCAAAAAACCCTAAACATGACCCTCCAAGTAGAGCACCCGAGCCCACGGAGATGGTTCTACCCGAAACCCGAAACCCGAAACCCGAAACCCGAAACCCTAAACCCTAAACCCTAAACCCTAAACCCTAAACCCTAAACCCTAAACCCTGAACCCTAAACCCTAAACCCTAAACCCTAAACCCTAAACCCTAAACCCTAAACCCTAAACCCTAGGGCCCTGGTGTGGGGCCGCCTCCAGCAGCACCTGAAGGTTCGGGCTCCCCCCCGCATGGGACTCAGGGCTTTGCTAGCAAGCCGGTTTTAGGGTTTAGGGTTTGGGGTTGAGGGTTTAGGGTTTAGTAGGGTTGAGGGTTGAGGGTTGAGGGTTTTAGGTTTTAGTTGAGGGTTTAGGGTTAGGGTTTAGGGACAAACCCTTTCAGCGGTTCAGGGTGGTTTGGTTTTGGGGGGTTTGGGATTTAGGGCATCTGGGGGGTTGGCGAAGTCATGTGGTCGAAATCAACGAGATCTTTTCGCATATGTATGCACATCTACAGACATGTATCCACCCTGTTCAAAGCCTTGAGCGATTTCTTGCAAGATCCAGGGTCGATCGCCTTCGTTTGCCCCGCCCAGGTGTCCCTGTGCCCAGCGTTTTTTCTTAAGGGTTTAGCTTCGTGCCTGTAGACTTTCGTGTTCAGGGTCTAGGGTTCGTACCTGTACCTCGCCATTGCCCAACCATGATTACGTCCATGCTACCAGTGCACGCACTTGTCAGAACACCTTCGCACAGCCACGAATTCTTTGTGTTTGGCCCTGCAGGCTTGGAAAGTGTGTTTCCCCGAGTTTTTGCACAGTTTGTCAAGGCACATCACCATGATTACGTCCATGCTACCAGTGTGTCCACTTCCCAGAGCACCATTGCCCAACCATGATTCCGTCCATGCTACCAGTGCGTCCACTTGCCAGAGCACCATTGCCCAACCATGATTACGTCCATGCTACCAGTGCATCCACTTGCCAGAGCACCATTGCCCAACCATGATTACGTCCATCATAAAAGAGCTCTTCAACCACAAGGACTTTCTTCTGCCGGGCTAAAAAGCAGTTCTGCCTGCAAGTACACAACATTTCCGCGCAGAAATGTCGGGTTTTTTGGGTTTGCAAGCTTGCCATTCCTCTAGACACTGCCACCTCTCATCACCCGAACTGGACGCGAAGAAAACTCGGGTTTTTGCTGCTTTCTGCTTGGTATTCCCGTGTTTCGGCGACGCCATGTTCAACTGGAAAAAAGACGATCTCATCGCCCCTGCCATGCTTTCAACAACTGCCCCGACAAGAAGCGGGGCAAACGATGGTGATCTACCCAAGATCCAGATTTGAGGTTTTGGTGGCTTCGGGGAGTGAAAAGGTTTTGGTGTTCCGGTTTTGCTGGGTGTGGCTGCGAAGCCATCGGCTCCCGTGACGCTGTGACCTGTCAAAGCCCCAAGAGCACTCGAAAACTGTTCTGTTTATGTAACATGTTCTCTCTCGCTTTCTCGCTTTCTCTCTCTCTCTCTCTCTCTCGCGCTCTCAGCTTCAAAGCTCCGCTCTCAGGACCCTAAGGCTCTCTAAGGCCAAGAATAGGAACCTCTAGATTCGCAACCTCAAGCCCTGAAGCCCACACACACAGCCCTCAGCCACCTGAACCCCGAAACACGAAGCCCCAAGCCCGCAACCCGCACATTTTTTTCTCTCGGCCCAAGCCACGACTTTCAGGGTGGCAGTCAAGCATTAGTGGGAGAGTACGAGGGCTCGCGTACCAGGTAGAAGAGCTGTAAAACACCCAACAGTAAGCAACAAATTGTCCTGAGCCCTACAACCTAAGGCCCCAAGCGCTAAGTAAGTCCAACACAGTTTTGTTGTGAAAGCCCACCTTTCCAAAAACCTTTCAGCCTCACCTCCAACAGCAGCCACAAGTCGCGGTCTGCGGGAGATGGGGACCCCAAGCCGAAACCCTAAACCCTAAACCCTAAACCCTTAAACCCCTAAACCCCTAAACCCCTAAAACCCTAAACCCTAAACCCTAAACCCTAAACCCTAAACCCTAAACCTTTGGATCGGAAAACCCTAAGCCCCAGCAAGCTGCTTGTTCATGCTTCGAATATGCTGCGGCCTCTTCCTTTGCCGCGCCAGCGATTTGTGCGGTGGCTCCACAAGGGGCATGCAGCTGACTCAGGGAAGAGGGGCTTATCGGGGATTACGGTATTAGGGGTACCTTATTGGGGTCCTGACGATACCCCCATGTATACCCAGCCGTTGGGTTTGGGGTTGGGGAAAGGGCCTTATAGAAGGGACCTCAGATTTTTTTGGGGCTACTCGGAAATGTTAATGTCAGTTCTGTAGAGGGGTTGTACCAGCTAGTACCAGTGGGGCCTTGATCCCTCTTAGCATCCCTTAATTTCTGATAGAAGTGCTGAGGAGGGTGTAGGGGTTTGGGGTTCAGGGGATCCCCTTCCCCTTGACCATAAACCCTCAATAGGAGTTTTGGTTGAGGCCGTAGGGCTGAGCGTTCAGGGGATCATACTTCAAGGTTCATGGGTAGCTAAGGCTAAGAATGCCTACCGTCATAAGTAAGTCCACCCTATACTGCAATCACACTAAGACCTCCTTTCATATCCCTGGACCTTCAAGTAACGCCTGCAGCCTAGAAACCCTGCGGCGCTGTCAGAGCTTGCCACTTCATTGAGAGGCAGGCTGCGAGACAATCAAGTCAACAACCTTCAGCCTTTAGTTTTAGCCCTAAACCCTAAGCCCGAAGCCTTAAGCCCTAAGCCCTAAACCCTGCTAAGCCCTGCCAAGCCCTGGGCTTAAGCCCTGAGGCCCTAAGCCCTAAGGCTTAAGCCTCAAACCCGAAACCCTCAGCCCTAAGCCCACAGCGGCTTTGTGCGCTGGACCAACGAACCCGGAGCTACTTGGAGGTTCATGGTACTCATTAACCAAATGTTTAGGGTTTAGGGTTTAGGGTTTAGGGTTACTGTACTTTCAACTGTACTTATAACCATGTTAGGGCACTTAAGGGCCTCATAAGCGGGTTGTTCTACTTGGTTCATAGGCACCATGAACCTCCAAGTAGCTCAGGTCAATGCCACGCTGGAGAAGCTTGGCATGCCTCGCCACCATTGGCTCAAGGAGGCTGGTCCAGGGGGGTGTAGGATGTAGGGTTTAGGGTTTAGGGTGTAGGGTGTCGGGTTTAGCGTTTCGGGGGGTTTAGGGTTCAGGGTTTAGGGCTTGGGGGTGCTTCAGTCTGCTTCAGCATTCATTTTGTGGGGGGGGGGGGGGGGGGGGGGGGGTTGCCCAGAATTAGGGTGCCTATTTCAGGGGGGGTTCTTCTAATAAGCCCTTGGCGGTAGATTCAGGCACCCCCTACTTTCGGAACCCCCCTCCCCCCAAAAACAAAAGGGCTTTCGACGTTAAGGCGCCCTCAGCCCTAAACCCTACAAGGGTTTTGGATTGGGTTGAAGGTTTTGTAGGGGTTCGTGTAGCTCTTAAGCGGTTCAGGGGCCTTTCGGAGCATTTGAGGGGTTGGGAACCCATGGAACCCCAACAAAATTATGTAGATGTTGGGTGTTTCGGGTTTGGGGTTTAGGGTTTAGGGGTTTAGGAGTTTGGGCTGCATTGAACGAAGAGTTGCTTTTCCTGGACTTAGCATCGCAGCGGCGACCCTGGTTGCGATTCATGGGGAGGGCTCACGATCGAGGGTTTTGGCTTGAGGCTTTGCAGGGCTTTGGGGGGTGAGCCTAGGATGACTGAGGTTTGCGGCCTTCAGGGTTTGGTTCCTGTTTAGCATTCCGAGGTGGACCAGGCCCCAACGACCTCCACGGTGCGTAGGCGCCCCGTGTTTATGCGCAAAGTCCACGCGCACAGCCTCATGAGGTTTTAGGCTGGGTTCTGGGTAGGTGGCCTAACTGAGGGGACTACATGGGTAGTTCTGGTCCCTTTCTTGGGGTCCCCTACATAGTACGGCACTCTGTGGCACCCCCCAAAAAAGGGCCTGACTTGGAGAACTGGCCTTTTGTCGAAGTATGGGTTACCTGAATTCGACTCATTCACCTTCAGGTGGATCTGAGGGGATTGCGGCAAGATGAACCCTGCTCAGGCCCAAGACCCAAAACCTTAAAAACCCGAAGCCCTGACACTTCCAAGCCTGACATCCCCAAACCCCAAGCCCTTGAGGTCTTTGATCTGCTGTTGCCTCCACCTTAAACCCTGAACTTTACACGGAGGTCTGGCATAGGGTCCCAGGCTGAGAGTTCAGGGTTCCGGGTCCCCAAGCCCTGAGCCCTTCTAGCGCAAAACCCTTGTTATGCAATGCGGTCGGTGTGGGGTTTAGGGTTTGACCCCCCCCCCCAACAAGGCCCAAGCTCACATCCCAAGAGGCTGAAGGACAACTACCTTCGAGAACTGGGTGGGGTGCACGGTGAAATGCAAGACCTCTTCAGTGCCTCGGCTTGCCTTCCTGGTGATTAGGTGTTCTTGTGTGGTGGACAGCTTCGCGGCCCGACACAAGCCCACAGCCCAAAGCTTAAGCATTTGACACTTAAACTTGAAATCCCAACCTTACAAACCACCGTAACCAACGGTCAACCTTCTCAACCTTTCATTTCAAGCAAAGTCTGATTGCTTTTAGGTGGGCCGACAAAACGGGGCGGCTTTATCCAACCTGGGGAACAGTAGCGCGAAGTTATTGTCTCCTGGCTTGTAAGGTTAGTGTTTTAGATGCTCGGGTTTAGTGTGCCATCTCTTGCCGTACTGGCTCTCCGAAACCCGACCCTAAAGCCTCCGGCTCAAGGCAACGAAGCGGCAAAGCGTGCCATCAAGCCACAGACGCTGGCAGAGAAGCAAAGTATTGAGGACGGGCGGGGGCTTTAGATTTACGGCTTCTTTGGGGGCTTCGGCCCAACTTCGAACCCAGCACCCGGACGAAACCCAAGAGCTTGCATGCGTGAGGACGTCGCGCACAAGAGGGAGCTCAACAACGAGGTCGGGGCGCAGAGCTCTCCTGGGGAAGGTTTTTTGATGCCCAAAACACCTCAACCCCAACCCTAAATCCTAAACTCTAAACCCTAAACCCTAAATCCTAAACCCAAAATCCTAAACACCTCAACCTATGTAAGCCTAGGCGTAGTTAGGGGTCAGGGTTTGCCGTTGAGGGTCGTTAACATTGGGCATGTCCCTGCTTTGCGTTCAGGTTTACTAGCGTTGGTTCGAGAATGTGCTTTGAACTTTAAGGCCGTAAACCTTGCACAACCCTGCATGTATGTATGTATGTCTGTATGTATGTATGTATGTATGTATGTATATGTATATGTATCTGTATCTGTATCTGTATCTGTATCTGTATCTGTATCTGTATGTATGTGTACGTGTACGTGTACGTGTACGTGTACGTGTACGTGTACGTGTACGTGTACGTGTATGTGTATGTGTATGTGTATGTGTATGTGTATGTGTATGTGTATGTGTGGATCTCTGAACCCTTAGGGCCCCAAAACCCAAAACCCAAAACCCAAAACCCAAAACCCAAAACCCAAAACCCAAAACCCAAAACCCAAAACCCAAAACCCAAAACCCAAAACCCAAAACCCTAAACCCAAAACCCAAAACCCTAAACCCTAAACCCTAAACCCTAACCCCTAAACCCAAAACCCAAAACCCTAAACCCTAAACCCTAAACCCTAAACCCTAAACCCTAAACCCTAAACCCTAAACCCTAAGGGCCCCTAAACCCTAAAACCCTCAACGCAAAGTCCAGGCCCTGCGCGTGTACCGCCTGCTTCGCCCCGAGGTCGGTCGAGGGCTTTGGGTGGTTTAGGGTTTAGGGTTTGGGGTTTAGGGTTTAGGGTTTAGGGTTTAGGGTTTAGGGTTTAGGGTTTAGGGTTTAGGGTTTAGGGTTTGGGGTTTGGGGTTTAGGGTTTAGGGTTTAGGGCCCAACTGCGGCCTGTATGCCCTCGAAAGGATTTGGGTTCGGGTTTTGACGTTTGCGATTGTTTTTTTTGAGATTGAGGTCTTTTAGGTCTCAGGGCTAACCCGACACGAGCCCTGAAGGCATGCTGGTGTTCGGAGTCAGGGTTCAGGTATTTGGGTATTCGGGTAGTTAGGGTTCAAGGTGCATGGTTCTGAGCTTCAGGGTTTATGGTTTAGGGTTTAGGGTTTAGGGTTTCGGGTCGAACCGTGGCCTTTTCGCGGGCCCGGAAGGGGGGGGGGGGGCTTCACAGCATTGAGCCCTGGAACCTACTCCACTCAAGCCCTGAGGCATACAGTCCCACCCAAGACCCCTGCATGAAGGTTGTATTGTAGGTTGCTCTTCTGCTCGCCCTAAACCCTAAACTCTAAACTCTAAACCCTAAACCCTAAACCCTAAACCCTAAACCCTAAACCCTAAACCCTAAACCTAAACCCTAACCCCCCCCCCCCACCAGCAGGCCCCTCGCTTCTTTGAAGAAGACGCGATGCTTGGGATGAAGGCCAGGCTGTGAGGGTCGAGGGCAAAAGGTTGAGGGCCTGGGAGTTTACCAGGATTTAGGGAGTTGGAGTTTGGGAGCTTAGGAGTTTAGGAGTTTTAGGAGTTTTAGGAGTTTTAGGAGTTTAGGAACTTAGGGTTGAAGGTTTAGGAGTTTAGGAACACAGGAGAGGCAGGAACCAGGTGGTTCCGGTTAAGGGTCACCCTGGCTGTCCTCCTGCGACTGCACGCCCTAACAACCAAAGCCCTCAACCTAAACTGCGGACACCAATACCCCAAAACCTTTAAACCCTAAACCCCAAGCCCAAAATCCCAAACCCCACCACACACATACGCCACAGGCCCGGATGAGCCAGATCACCCAGGAAGACAGCAACGCTGATGCTTGGCTGCTGGCAAGACTCGGCAGAAGTCTTGAGGTCAAGGGTTTGACCCAAACCCTGTTGGGCTATAACCCATGGGCTCTAGGATTGCAGGGCTTGAGGGCCATATTCGGCAGAGCGAGCTAGGTTCAGGGCGAGGGTTGAGGTGCTCAGCGATTTCAGGGCGTGGGTCTACGCATCCAGCGTCTCCAGTCCGACATCTCAGACCAACCCTGTTCCCGAAGGTACACCCCAACTGGGCCCTAAATCCTTTGGGGGTGTTGTAACCATCTCATCTCCCCCTGACAAGCATTTTATGCCCTAAGCCCGAAACTCTAAACCCTGTTTGGTCTTCCAGGTCCGAGTTCTATGCGCTCGACCCGGATTGAGGTCCTAAACTCTGCGCTTGCAGGTTCATGAGCAGTTGTAAGTAGGGTTAGAAGCGCCGAGTTTAGGGCCTCAGCCATGTAACCGAAGCTCTGCTTTCTCCGTACTGACGGCTCGGGGTTTCATTTGCTGGGAACACCCGGGGCACAGCCGCTTCAGGGTTTTAGGTCTACCCCTAAACCCTAAACCCTAAACCCTAAACCCTAAACCCTAAACCCTAAACCCTAAACCCTAAACCCTAAACCCTAAACTAGGGCCTGCCGAGGATCGTGGGTCCGCGATTGCCCGGGCCCAGCCCCCAGCTCGCCTTGACCGCAGCCCGGAAGTCGCCTTCTAACTCTTCCCAGCCTGTATCCCAAAGGGGTTTAGGGTTTAGGGTTTAGGGTTTAGGGTTTAGGGTTTAGGAGGCAAGGTTCAATCCGGGGCCCCTGCAGGGGAGTAGAATAGACTGAGTTTGTGTGGTGAGGATTGCCGGGTTTCAGTTCAGGAGCTCGCGTTCTCGCTGCCAGAACAGCATTCTTGACCACATCCCCCCTGTTGTGGTAGCCTACTTGCATGTCCTGAACACCCTAAGTCTTGAGACCCGAGTTTCAGCTCCACTCAGTTTGAGGGCTCTGTAAGGTTAGAATTTTGTAGGGTTTAGAGGGTTTTCTAGGGCTTACTGTGGGCTGAGTGAGGGTAAACCCTAAACCCTAAACCCTAAACCCTAAACCCTAAACCCTAAACCCTAAACCTTAAACCCTAAACCCTAAACCCTACCTCAGGGCTGCATAATAAGGTTGAGGGCTTCGGGACCACGGTGGGGTTTTGCAGGTTTAGGGATGGGAGGCCCTCCGGCGTACCCAAGCTACAGGAGTCTGAATTCAAAAGCCCTAAGCCCTAATAAGCGTGCTTGAGCTTCGACTTCATGGGAGAATGAAAAAAGCCCTAAACCCTAACCCCTAAACCCGAAACCTAAACCCTAAACCCTAAACCCTAAACCCTAAACCCTAAACCCTAGACCCTACTCCCTAAACCCTAAACCCTGAACCCTAAACCCTAAACCCTAAGCTCCAACAGGGGTTACGGGCTTCTGCAAGGCGCAGAAGCTGGGCGATCCCTTCAAAGCGCACCTGCCGGTGGTGAATCAGAAGGCTCCCCCCAGTTCAGGGCTCCAAGCTCTGGCTCCCCGGGGCTTTAGGGTTTAGGGTTTAGGGTCCAAACTCGGTTGTGCCGTTGAAGAGTTCCCAGAATTTCGGGTCTTACGCGCTTTGGGTGAATTTTGGACAGACACGGACCGCGTGATGAGAGGAAGGGTTTGGGGTTGAGTGCTTTAGTTCTATTGGTTCTGGTGCCTGGTTCCATCATGGGTGTGATTGTGGCGGGGCTCAAAAGTTTGGCTTCACATGTTGACAGTACTCGGCCTAAGGGATGGCCGGCACCCAGACCACCTTTAGCGTAGCTAAAGTATAACCCCAAATCGTAACCCTTTTCCTCTGGACGTGGTTCAGGGTTTTGGGTTCAGGGTTTGCTGGCCCCCCCCACCCGGGGGCCCCTGGCCCCTGGTGGCTGGATTCCTGGACAGGAGAGGGTGCTGCTAGTTGCTCAATTTGGGGTTTTTGAGCCAAATGCGGGTCAGACCAAGGACCCTACAGCCCCCCGGGCCAAGGGCCCCCCGGGCAGGGGCCCCCGAGCCAGGGGCCAAGGGCCCGGCGGGCCAAGATGCGTCCGGGCTGGCCAAAAACCAAGGGCCTCCAGAACCAAGACCGCCACCCCCCGAACCAAGGGCCTCCCAGGCTTGACTGACCCAAGCGGATGCCAGCAAAAGAATGGGAAGCTGCGGCGGATTGGCAGCGGCCCCTAATTCAGGGCTAGATCAGGAAAGCCCAAAAACCCCGAATCAGCAAAGGCCTCTACGGGCCCTGACGTGCCGAAGGCCACCCTAACACCGCAAAACCCTGCGAAGGCCTTCAAGCAAATAAGGGCTTCTACGGGCCCTAACGTGCCGAAGGCCCGAAAAGGGCCGAGGCTACCCCGAACCCCAGCTTAACCCTAGCGATTGAAATACTCATTGGCGAAAAAAAATTAATAGTTTCCCTGACCTTCAAATGAATAAAGCCTCTACGGCCCCTGACACGCCGAAGGTCCGAACAGGGCCCCGAGAGACCCCAAGAGCCACCAAAAGGCTTCAAAAGACTTCAAAAGGCCCCCTAAAAGAAGGGGGGACCCCAGGATGCCCGTACCTGCAATGAAAAATGCGATTTTTTTGTACTGATATCGATGGTTTTGGGCACCCCTTCGTTTTACCCCGGACAGGAAGCCCCCAAAAGGCCCCAAGAGCCACCAAAAGGCTTCAGGCCCTTAAAAGGGGAATCCAGGAGCAGGCACAAAGGGTTTCCCTGACCTTCAAATAAATAAGGGCCTCTACGGGCCCTGACACGCCGAAGGCCCGAAAAGGGCCGAGGCTACCCCCAACCCCAGCTTAAACCCTAACAGCGCAACTTTAAAAACATCAAAGCAAGCATCAGGGCACAAGAAAATACATTCCATAAACCCTAAACCCTAATAGAGTATAGTTTGGGTGGCCGGGGTGGGTTGACGGGCAACGCGAGCGCGCGGCCCGGGGTGTTTCACACCCGAGCGCGCGCCCTCCCCTGACACACCCTAAACCCTAAACCCTAAACCCTAAACCCTAAACCCTAAACCCTAAACCCTAAACCCTAAACCCTAAACCCTAAACCCTAAACCCTAAACCCTAAACCCTAAACCCTAAACCCTAAACCCTAAACCCTAAACCCTAAACCCTAAGAAGCCAAAGCCAACTGAACCTCAGAGGCCTTCCTCCTGGCTCTCGAGTCAGTGGTGGCCTCCTTGGCAGAGGCCTCCTTGCGGATGTCCTGGGTTTAGGGTTGAGGGTTTAGGGTTTAGGGTTTAAGGTTCAGGGTTTAGGGTTGAGGCTTTAGGGTTCAGGGTTTAGGGTTTAGGGTTCAGGGTTTAGGGATTAAGGTTTCGGGTTCCTCTAGAAATCCACCGAAGTAAGCTGGCCTCCCTAAGCCTGAAAAAGTGTCGTGGATGTAGGGTAGAGGCACCCTAAACCCTAATAAACCCTACCCTAAACCCTAAACCCTAAACCCTAAACCCTAAACCCTGAACCCTAAGCCCTGAACCCCAAAGATCCTACGACCTCTTCGTCCGGAGGACCTAGAGACGCTCTGCCGCCTGGTGGGCATGGACCCCAAGGCCGAGGGTTGCTGCTCCCACAAATCCTTCAACCAGATGCCCTAAACCGCAAAATGCACTGGGTTTTGGGGTTTGGGGTTTAGGGTTTAAGGTTTGAGGTTTAGGGTTTAGGTCTTATTCCGACACACGCACTCTGTGCCCTCGACCCTAATCCCTGAAGACGCTAGACCCCAGACCCTACACCCCATACCTGTACACCCCTCATGTCTCAGCCGTTGATATACTGGGTGGTGCCCTAAAGCCCTTGGACTTTGAATATGACTGAGTTGGTTTTTCTTAGGGTGGTCATGGGTGGTCCGAACATGTCCCTAAACCCTGAACAACAGCCCCCAAAACCTTCAACCCCAAACCCTACATCCCCGCGTATGTAGCCCCAAGCCGTACATCCCAAACCCTGAACCTACACCATAAAACGAAACCCCAAAACGCAAAGCCAAAATCCTCTACGGGTCCAGTTCAAACGTTTTTGTGCTCTGCAGAAGAAGCATATCTCCTAGGCTAAGGTTCATGAGATTCCTAGTGTTCGGTGCTTACATTTCGGAAGGCTGCGGTCGCATAGATTTGTCGGCTCTGGTTCTCAACTTGCCAGGCTTCGTTTTTCGTTCTGCACGTAGGCGTACGGTGGTTCTTTTCATGGCTCGACATCAGCAACATTCCGTGCCCATACCCTGAATAGCACACTCAGGGCCTAGGCACTCAGCAAGTTTCTGAACTGGTGTGACAAACCCGCCAGCGCACCTCAGAAGTACCTCGAAGTCAAATAGAATGTTGCCAGGGGCTGGGAAGGCATGTGGGTGAAAAGAACCGACTGTTGCATCTTCGACTGAGCGTAGTTGCCCACTCCCCCCGCCTAGTTGCTGATGAAAGGTTTCCGCGTCAAACTTTGCAAAGAGGGTCGCCAGCACGTGAGAGCAGAATATTTCCGAGAATGCCAGAAGAGTAACAGTAAGCGACAACACGTACAAGTGCGATCTGTCGTGCTTGTTGCGCCGAAGATATGCATGTTTGGCGGGCCTGTGCCACACATGTCGGGGCACTTGAGCAGTTTTACATGAGAGCAAGCCCTGAATCCTCAACATCCCCACCTGTAAGCAAGAAGCATCAAGAAGCCTAAGCTAAACCTTCAAAAGCCCTCAAGCCCCAAATGCCCCCAATCCAAAACTTGCAAGCCTGTGCCCCAAAGTCCGGACAAAAACCACAGCGTTTTTGTCGTTTTTCTGTGGGAGAGGGGGGCTCGGCTAGGTGGCCGGAGTGTTGGGACTCATGGGTTCGGGGTGGAGGGGTTTAGGGTTTAGGGTTTTGGGTTTAGGGTTTAGGGTTTAGGGGTTCCCCAAAGTCCGCCGGCAGCGCAGGATTTTCCAACAGTGGAGGACCCCCTCCGCCGCCTTGCAGCACTTGACGAGTGTCTGTTGGAGCCCCTAACCCTAAACCCTAAACCCTAAACCCTAAACCCTAAACCCTAAACCCTAAACCCTAAACCCTAAACCCTAAACCCTAAACCCTAAACCCTAAACCCTATAAACCCTAACCCTAAACCCTAAACCCTAAACCCTAAACCCTAAACCCAAAACCCAACACCCTAAACCCTAAACCCTAAACCCTAAACCCACTTTAGGCCCAAAATCCCCAAACCCGATCAGGATCGTGTTGTAGCCGGGTCATGTAGTCAAGCCCACGGAATCACAGGTACAACTTCTATCTTCTGTTCTTATAACTTTTTTCGTGTCAAGTTGTTTTGTGACTCAAATGAAGAATCAAGAATATTGAAGCAAAGGGGGAATCTTGCTTTTGGTTTCTCTCCGAAGTTCAATCAGAAACCTGATGTTTTTTGATGCCTTAAAACTTGGTTTATGATAGGCAGAAGCTTATGTTCCGGGTTTTATGGGCCTTCTGTTTCGTACCGAGTTCATGCCAAACCCTATTGTCGCCTGCAAAAAACTCTTAGAACGCAACATGAGGTGCTAAGAGTTCGGCATCTTGGGTGCATCCCAAACGAGCTCCCAAAGGAGTTTTCTTCAGCCTCCATGGCACCCAGCCCCCGCTATGCACCTTACACACAGGGTCGCTCCTTCGGTCCTTCACATGTACGGTTTTCTGTGCAGATGTAGGACGGAGGAGCGGATCTGAAATTATCGTTCCTTTTCAGCCCGGGCTAGCCTATCGGGATTGCCAAAAGTAGAGACCAAACCAGGGCCCAGAACAGTTGTTGCTTTTCGGTTTGGACGTCTGGGGCTCAAAGCGTCTGCTCAGGTTAAAAAGTATCGGGGAAACCAAGAGAAAGAAACGCACTCGCACACACACCCCCTCTTCATACCAAGTATCAGGTGTGCCATTTATGAAAGCATTGACGGCCGTTGGTGTTTAAATACAAGGACAGGGAGTAATCCGGCGCCTCAGAAGGCAGATCCGAAGGCCCTGACTCCCACAGACCCCAAAATGGGAAGGTTTGGGTCTAGGGCCTGTCTAGGGTTGAGGGTTTAGGGTTTAGGGTTTTGTACACCTTCCTACGGTGACTTTTGGTGGAGTTTTCCTTAAGAATCCCTAAGCCCAAGACGAAGGCTTTTACAAGCTTCTCAACATCCTTTTCGATGCCTTCCCGCTGGAGAAGGATCCTCGAAAGGCCGTGCCCATGATTCTAAAGCCCTAAACCCCAGACCCGGAACTCCAAACCCCACGCCCAAAGCCCAAAACCTAGCTCTTTGAAGGCGCAGAGGTTCAGGATTAAGGGGTTGCAGGGTTAGGGTTCAAGGTTCAACATAGGATTTAGGGTACATAGGCAGCTAGGGGGACCCCAACCCGAGGTCCGAAGGCCCACCTCGCTCTGAGTGAGAAAGCCCTAAAGCAGCATTTAAAGATTCCCAGCGTTGCTGGAAACCAAGGCTACGTTATGGGGTCGATATGGGATTCCTTCACTTCTAAAGACGAGGCTTTCTTGCATTTGGAGGGCCAAGCCTTGAAACTCTGACTCGAGAACACCGATCTCTTAGCAGACCGAAAGTTATGTTTTGGGTTTGGGTTTGTGGGTTTGGGTTTGGGTTTGTGGGTGAGACAAACAAAGAGAAAAATCCGAACTCCACCGGCTGGCTCTGAGCCCTCCATGCCTTGGCCCTCCTAGACCGAAGCCCTAAACCCTAAACCCTAAACCCTAAACCCTAAACCCTAAACCCTAAACCCTAAACCCAAGCCCTAAACCCTCAACCCTAAAACCCACAAGCCACTAGCTCTCAGGCAGTGCAAGGCTCTAAACCCCGAAGCCCTAAAGCCTCAGAAGCTTTTACCGTGTTAAAACCACCCCCCAAAACCGGAGAAGCTCCCAAAACCCGAAGACCCCAAGCACAGAACTCTACCCTAAACCCCCCCCCCCCGCCCGAAACAAAGAGGCTCCCAAAAAAAATCTCGGACCCGAAGCCCTTTGCTTCGCTGCGCAAGGTGCCGGAGTTCATGCAGACCCACTGGCTCCGGCTCAAGGCGCTCCTCCCGGAGGAGACCTCAACCCATTGAGGCTTAGGGCTTCTTGGCTTTCTTCTGGCTGGCTCTTAGGACTTTAACCTTTTGGGGTCGTTGAAGAAACGACACAAGAAGGAGCCTAAAAGTTAAACTTTTAGGAGGGGTTCAGAAGTCAGCCAAGGCTCAGGGCTGTCACATGGGGCTAGCTTTAGAACTTTTTCTTCAAGTTTCTAGAGTGTATATCTTTATAAATAGTTCAAAAAGTCAATAAGTAAACACATGTGGGTACATTCATATATCTGTATAAATATAAATATAAATATATATATATATATATATATATATTTAATGGCTACCGCCAGTGCCGCCGACCCCAGATCTAAGAGAGTCTTGCTGATGGCACGCTGAAGGCCCTAAACCCAAAACCCTACAACCTCAATGCCGAAACCCGGAACCCCGAAACCTAAACTTACAACCCTTACACCCTGAAACCCTAAACCCTAAACGTCCAAGAAAACCCTAAACCCGAAGCTCATAGGAGCCATCGGTCCATGGGGGCCATGGAGGTCGAAGGGATGGGTCCATGGGGGCCATGGGGGTCGAGGGCCATGGAGGGCGGGTGGAGCGGGGGAAGGGCGGAGCAAGCGGAGCGGGCGGAGCGGGCGGAGCGGGCATGCACTGGGGCCCTTTAAAGTCATTTGATTGGGTCTAGAGGCACAGGGCGTCTAGGGGCATAGGGCCAGAGGGGACCGTGGGGCATGGGGCACTGGGGCCCTTGAGGGGCCATGGAGCCATTGCTGGCCATGGGGCCAGGAGCCATGGGCCATGGGGGCCATAGGGGCCGAAGGGATGGGGCCATGAGGGGCGGGCGGAGCGGGTGGGAAGGGCGGAGCAAGCGCAGGGTGGCATGCACTGGGGCCCTTTATGGGGCCAGGAGCCATGGGTCCCTTTGTCATCCGATAAAGTCATCTGATCGGGTCTGGAGGCATAGGGCCAGGGGGCCATGGGGCCATGGGGCGGGGCGGGGGGGTTGGGGGGGGTGGTGAGATAGCCATGGATGGGGGCCAGCATGGAGGTCTGGAAGGTAGTATAAAAAGCAGTGGGTCTTCACTGACGCCGCCCCCGGCTGGGGTCGGCGGATATATATGTATATGTATACAAAAGAGGGGTTGGGGGTTTGAGGCTCCAGGGTTTTTTGGGGTCGAGGGCTTGGTTTGGTGGGCTACGGCCCAGGCGCCTTCCCATGCCCCATCCCGTCCCGAGAGACATGCAACCCTATAACCCCAAACCCCAATCCCTAAAAAGCATAGCACATTCCCGACATGCAGGTTCATGTAGTGGTGTTTGGGAGGCGTCGTAGCCCACACACGCTGCTGCATCCAAGCGCCAACCGCTAACCCAAAGGCCCTGGACTTGGAAACCCCGCTCTTGAGCCCCGCAGCCTGCAATTCCATGAAATATAGCAGCACGCGCAAGAAAGTTTTCGGCAGGCTCGTCGCCAGATGGTTTGATACCGGATACCTACCCTTGCTTGGAGGTTCATGGGCACTTATAAGTAGGGTTCTGAGTATGGTAACTATGGTTATAACCTTATTTAGGGTACTTATAGCTCTCTCATACGTGGGGTGTATAAGTATGGCAACTATGGTAACCTTATTTAGGGTACTTAGAACTCTACTGAAAAGTGCCCATCGCTAAACCCTAAACCCTACACCCTACACCCTAAACCCTAAACCCTATGAACCTCTAAGTAGTGCTGTGCACCAGGAGCTCTTCGAGCTCGATGAGCAGCTCGCACTTGGTTTTGCGTGTATGCAGCTCCCTAGATGTTCTAGACAGACAGACAGATAGATCAGTTTTTACATTTATATTTGTATGCTATTATAATATTGTGTTATACAGTATTGATTATATTATCTTAGATCTGAGAACATATGATCATATATTAGAATATATTATAATATATTATAATATATTATCATATATTATAATATATTGTACTATATTATATCATATTATATTATATCATATTATATTATATTTTATGATATGCCATTAAATCTACTATACTGTGTGTATAAATATGTATACACACCACACACTGTACGTAAGAATCTCAATGCCCTCCGGAACCTGCAAGCGTCGGTCATTCGGTCAGTTCTCTCAACCAGGGCCCCATGTAGCCAGGCACCCACAAGCGCCCAGGGTTTAGGGTTTAGGGTTTAGGGTTTAGGGTTTAGGGTTTAGGGTTTAGGGTTTCGGGTTTCGGGTTTCGGGTTTCGGTTTCAGAGAGCTTGCGGCCGTTTAGCATCGTGCATCTGTTTGCGCAGGTAGAGTTAAGCTCTTGCAGCAAACAGAAGCCCACTTCCCAGCCTAAAATCCACGGAAGACCATGGTCAACCTCAGTTCAGTGCAAACCGCAGCATGGTAAAAGGATGCACTTTTGGCGCTACAAACCCGAAACGCTTCAAGGACGGAGGTGGAGAAGTGGCTGACCGGCCACTTGGAGTGCCCTGGTAGCAGGGACTTTTTTTTGGGGGGTTTTCCGATTATGGGTTGTGAGGAGATGTTTAGGGTTCTATAGGGACTGACATTTGGGCTGTGCGGTTGGCATCAAGGTGGTCTTCGAACCCCTGAACTTCCTACTGCAACTCCCTCCCTTGTAGCCTTCGAACCCTCGGCCCCTCTGTGCCAACACTCCCCAGCCCGACAAATCCCCGATTGTCGGTCCTGCAACATCTTCGGGCTTTGCAAGTTTCATCCAACCCTGCAGCCTCGGCCCCTTCACCCAAACTAAGAAACCCTAAGCTGCAACTTCGTTGCCGTGTCAGCCCCTCCAAGGCGCGTGCTCCTGAACCAGAAGCGCTACGAGCAGGCAGATCAAAGGACCCTGGGATTAGGGGTAGGCCCACAAAATCCTACCCGCGGCAGGCAGAGTATTGAGGAGAGGTAAGCAGCATGATTTGGTCTGCAGTTGGAGTCAAAACCCTCTGTCGTAAGGTTTGGGGCTGTGCTTGAAGGGGGGTAGTGATAAGTAGTGCTGTAAGGGCCCAGATGAAGGTTTTAATCTGCTATGTTGCGGGTTACCTGACACATCAGTCTGACATATGGCACGCAAGACGCTTCAGACGCTGCGTTTCGAGGCCCTGGCAGCCACATTCAAAATAATGGTCCTTGTTGGGGTATCCTAAGTGCGAGGGCCCTTATTCTGTATAGGTTCCTGAAATGGGACGAGCTTGCCACGTGTGGTGAAGCAACCCTCGATGGCCGAGGATCCTCCTGCACAACAAGCGCAGCGAAGAGAGGTGGTACAACTTTGCGGAGGCACGGCTTGGCTGGACTGCTTTGGGGTTTAGGATTTAAGGTTCAGGGTTCAGGGTTTAGGGTGTATGGTTTAGTGTCTAATTCGGGTCTAGGGTCGGACTGGGGAGTCAGGCCTCTGGATTTCAGTTTCTAGGGGCGCAGTCTTGAGCTCCCCCAAATTCTTAGACCTTGAGGCTCAGCCCCATTTCAATTTCTTAAACCCCTCAACTCACCCCTAAGCCCTAGAGCCCTCAACTCAGGCCGAAAGCTTGAGGTATGGGTGTGCAGGAGTAAGGGGTTTGGAGGTTCAGGGCTGGCAGGACTTTCCCTACGACGACGACCCCATGCCCGACATGCTGGCAGACGAGCGGAACTTATTCTTTCCCCTCGAGAAGGCTGCGGGCCTCGAGCCTAAATCTGAGGTTCCAATAAGCCCTACACCTTCAACTGTAAGCCTTCAACACCTAAACGGCTGGCCCAAACGAGGTCATAGGATTCCTTGTGGCGCCGTGTATATACATATACATGCGCATCTACATACACACAGTGTGTAAGCTACAACAGGCAGTTGTATATGCGTATACATTTATACATATGTATATCTATAAACAAATGAATAAATAAGAAAAAAACTCGATAAATTGCACATTGTGCTTAAAAATCCAAAAACTCAAAACCATGAAGCCCGGACACTGCTATTCTTGGAAATTTTGGTTTTACCGAGTTTCTTTTTTTTGGGTTTTTTTTGGAACAGTAACAAAAACCCATGCATTTTTGGGATTTTAGGTGTTCCTGGCCTCAGAAACCAAAAGGCCACATGGTTTTTTGGTGGATGTTCATTCAAAATCCAAAACAACTCTCGTGTTTTTTTAGAGTTTCATCCCAAAAAGAACCAAAAACAACCGCGAGAAACCCGCAATTTGCAAAAGAAGCGGTGGGCTTCATGGTTTTCAGTTTTTGACTTTTAGATTTTTGGATTCTTGGGCAAAAGTGCAAAAGAGCGTGCTTGTTTTGTCAATTTTTGTATGAAGAGTATGTGTGTTATAAGTTGTTTTGCATGTGACTTCGTTGCACACACACAGAGAGAGAACACACACACACACCATCTTGTTAATTTAGATTCAAGCCATTCGGTATGTAGGGTGTGGCGTTAAAATGTAAAATGTAAAGTCCCAATTAGGTTCAATTACGAATGAGGCTTAGAAGAGGATGTCTTGGATGTGGCATCTTCATATAACAAGAAATAGAAACAGTATTTAAGTTTAAGAACAAACGAAGCCCAGATGAGGGTTGATGAGGGTGTGTTTCTGTGGGTGTGGCCTTGCAATTGACAAGTCGAATTAGACTTGATTGTGAGGGGGGCTTAGAAGGGCATGTCTTGGGGTGTGGCCTCTTAATTCAAAGCTATTTACAGTTCTATTCAATCACGAATGAGGCTTAGAAGAGGATGTCTTGGGGCGTGGCCTTTAGTATGTTTGCTTTACTTGGGTTTAGTTACGAACGAAGCTGTGGCTTTATCATACACAAGTCTATTGAAATTTCATGAAGAGGCCGCAGAAGAGGATTTCATAGAGTGTGAAAGGTTAAATATGGAATTCTAAGTACATTTAAATACGAATGAGGGGTTCAGAAGATGATAAAAAAATTCTGTCCAAAAGTTACATACGAACGAAGCCTAGATAAGAACTTCTTAGGGTGTGGGCTTCTTATTTGAAGTATAAAGTTCTTATGAGATTCTGTTACGAACAGGCCCCAAAACGGTGTGGCGTTTATAGTACAAGCATCTAAGCAAATCTAAAAGAAGTCCAATTACAAACGAAGGATTTGTTAAGGGGTGGGTTTATCATACAGAATTCTAATTAAGCTTCATTACGAATAGGGGCCAGAAAGGGATTTCATAGGGTGCGGCCTGCAATATAGAATCCGAGCTCGGTTTGATTTCGAATGAGGCTTAGAAGAGGATGTCTTGGGGATGGCCTCTTCACATACACTTGCTTGACTTGGGTTAAGAGGATTTCTTAGGGTGTGGGTTTGCAATACAGAGTCAAACTACGTTTCATTGCGAATGGGGCCAGAGGAGGATTTCAGAGGGTGTGGTCGATAGATAGGCAATAACCAATGAGGCTTAGAAGAGTATGTCTTGGGGCGGGGCGTCTTACTCTGTTTGTTTTACTTGGGTTAGCTACGAACGAAGCTGTGGCTTTATCATACACAAGTCTATTGAAATTTCATGAAGAGGCCGCAGAAGAGGATTTCACCGGGTTTCCCCTTTAACTATGGAAGTCTCCCAGTGTGTGGGCTTCTCATAGAAAGGCAGTCTTTCAATAAACTGGGAAGGAAGCCCAGATGAGGGTTTTTGAGGCTGTAACCTCTGCATGTAAAGTTCTGATGAGTTTTTGTTACGGACAGGCAGGCCCCAGAAGAGGATTTCATAGGGTGCGGCTTTCAATCGGCAAATTGAGATTTAAAAATAAGTTGTATTACGAATGAGGCCAGAGGATTCTCAGAGGAAGATCTCAAAGGGTGTGGCCTGTTAGTGGGTTAAATATCACTTTGATGTGCCCGAAAGGCTTTCCGACCTACATCATGGGGGGACACATACATATATATATATATATATCTATGTATCTAGACTCTAGACAGATTTCGATATAGATGCTTCTTATCTCCCTAGTTATGCTGAATTCGTTTCCTAAAGAGAGAAAGGAGAGATCATGGCTCCGTTTGAGCAGCCTCAACATACGGGGCCCCGAATTGTCCAACAGGGATCCAGAAAGGTCGCAGAAAACGTTCCTGAACCTTGAGATATAGGATGTTTTGTAAGTAAGGCAACCTAGATCATAGCCCTAAACCCTAAGCCCTAAGCCCTAAACCCTAAACCCTAAGCCCTGAACCCTGAACCCTAAACCACCCGCGGTTTGGCTTGTACGGGCCGCTTTCCCTTCATCTCTTTCTCTCGCTGTCGCTGTCGCTGTCTCTGTCCTCGGCCTCTTTCTCTCGGGCTCTCTCTGCCGCTCTGTCCTTAGGGATATTTGGAAAATCATTTTTCGTTTTAGTACTTTAATTCCTAAGAAACAGCGTCTAGTGTCTTTCTGCTGCCTGAAGCCTACGTCCCAAAGCTTCACCTGCAGCTGTAAATCTTGACAGGCCCAGGAATACATGCAGCTCTTCCTGAACGCGTTCGGTGCCTCGAAGTGTGCGGCGGTGCGGCTAGGCTGTTCAGTTGACCACTATTGGTATACTTCTTTCCCCTAAGTGTGTGACTTTCTGGTAGTTGCGGTCCCTTTATGCTTGTGACTAGTTGTGTTAAACCTTGTTCGGGGAGACACATGATTCCAGGTGTAGTTTGCACACCTTCCGAGCGTCGTGACTTGTTGACGGCTTTACTGCATGCGGTTCTCGCTTCATCGGTGATGGGTGCCTTCGTTGCTGAGCACGTGCTGAGTAGTTGTCTTTGGCTTGTCTTGCACACTTCCTTTGTTTCAACATTCCTTCCTACTTTGCTAGTTCGCCGTAGAGCACATGTTTGATCGTTGGGGCGTGATTGAGATTTCCTGTTGTTGTGTCTTCATGCGGCATGTGCCCGGAGGAATTAGCCACCCAAGCTTGAGCCCAAACTTGAACACAAAACCTATATAAACCCCGAAGGAAGCCTCTGAATCCCTAGGCAGCGGGGTGACCCCGAGCTGGGACCTGCAGCAGCTTCGCTGGACTGGGCCGGTTGCCCTTAAACCCTAAACCCTAAATCCTAAACCTTAAACCCTAAACCCTAAACCCTAAACCCTAAACCCCAAACCCCAAACCCTGAACCACCCGCAAAGGTTTTTGGGTGGAGCCACTCGCAACGGCAGCTCCCTAAACCTAAAACCCTCCGACCTCAAGTTCCTGCCTTTCCTGGAAACTGCGCTGGCGTCTTGCCCGCGATTCAAAAAACACGGCAATACCGATGCAGCTGCAAAAAGCCCCGTCTTCGAAGAGATGGCAGCTGATGGAGCAAGAGGTGCGCCGAGCGACGGGCAATGCTCCCCGGCCGCGGAAGAGCCGGCCGCAAAGTGTCCGCACCAAGCCCAGCTTTGAAGGAAATCGACTTCTGGCTCCTCCTCTTCGACCTTCCGCCGCTGGAGCAGGTGCATGTGCAGCCAATTCGCCTTTGTGGTCTGCATGCTCCTCGACCACTGCTGCGAAGAGCGGTGCCTCGCCCCCACTCAGCAGGCTACACCACCGAAATCTTGTGTGTTAGTAGAACACCGGAGCAGCTCCGCAGGCGAAACCGCCAGGTCCCGACCAATTTCAGCGTCGAACGCTTTCTATGAAATCTACGCGGCTCGTTTTCACGATTCCAGGCTACGATGGACCCAATACGGATTTCGGGGTAGTCGCTCTACTCAGCAGCGGCTGTTTCTTCACTGGCGGCTCCAGAACCTGGCCGCACCGAGCTTGGCCTGGACTGGCATGTGGCTTGTGATAAAATGGGCCATGGAACTATGTTGGGATGTTCCCCTTCTACAAACTCCTTACTAGGGATCACAGTACCCCCTATGAGAATCCCTATTAAGGACTGTTAGTATAGGGGAAAAACATACCGAAAACTATGCTTATAGCATCGGAAGGCCTCCAATGCATCTCGGTCATTCGGGATCTGTGCACGGATCACACCTCTTGCACCCGGGGACAGTTTGGAGGGCAGCGCGCGCCCCCTAACTCTGTATCATTATGTATCATGCTGGTTATGCTTCTTTTTGCATGATGTGGTTGTCTGCCTCCGTGCCCATGGAGTCCCAACAAGCACGTGGTCAGTACCCGCGTTTGACATGGAATATGCAGACGACACTCTGCTTGTAGCAGTTGCCAAAGGAGCACATGTGACAAATGCTGAAGAATCTTGAGGCAGAGGCTACTTTAGGAGCTTTTGGAGTACAGCGAAGCGTCTTGTGATTTGCTGCAGTTCGCAAATGGCTCCCAGGACCTAGACTTCTAAGTACCTATGGTCTCAGGTTTCTTGGAAGCAGGCCACTAAGCGTGCTATAGACCAGAGAAGCTCGCAGGCTCGTTGCCCTCAAGTAGCCATCAGAAAAGTAAACAGATGTTCTTAAACAGTTTCGCCTCACTTAGTACAATTTTGTCTACTTTTAACCAAACGCACTGGCCGCTTTAAAGGGCTGCTAGGGTCGAAGGCCTCACAACTAAGGAGCCACTAGAGACACCGTATGTGGAAGGTATTTGGCTATATGGATGGCAAGGTTTAGAGTCCGGGGGCGACTCCTGAATGTAGAGACCCATGTGGAAACTCCTGCAGGATTCAGCGGCCGTGTCGAATCAATTCCAGGACACCGGCCCTAGTTGACCCGACGGCTTCCGTGCATATAGGCAACAACATATTGACTAGGTTTTACGCTCTGTTGAACGGTTTTTACATGTACTGAATCACGGTTCTAGCCGTTCAATAAGGCATCGAATCAGCTTCACATAGTGACGGGTTTAAGCTACCCCTCTCAGGGGGGTAAAGTTTGGGGTGAGGATTTAAAGCTTTGTAACACCCTATGCCCAAGAGCCTCCACGTGGGGTATGAGGAGCACCTTGAGAGCACCCTACACCTTAAAGCCTTCTGTGGGTGGTTGTCAAAATTATGGTCCCTTTTTGGGTACCCTAAATGTTAGGTGCCGCATTCTCAGAGGGATCCAAAAAAGGGACCATAATTTTGACAACCGCCCGTGTAGGTGACGGACCTAAGCCCGAAAGCTGCAGGACTTGGTCTGGGATCTTGAGGATGTCGGCCTTCGCAACTGGCTGAAGATGGACATCCAGGCGACCATGGGTGGAGGGTTTAGGGTTTAGGGTTCAGGGTTCAGGGTTTAGGGTTTAGGGTTGAGGGACAGGGGCGGGCTGAAAACAATCATCCTCCGCGGACCAACAGAAAGGGATCTAGAACATCAGTGCAGACCGCCTTGGAGCCGACCAACTGCGACTTACGACTCGACTTATGAACTTCTGGATGCTTAAACCCTAAACCCCAAGCCCTAAACCCTAAGCCCTAAGCCCTAAGCCCTAAACCCTAGTAGAAAAACAGGTCGGGAGCGAACTTGACTCAAGCCTAACTTAGGACCGCCTCGCGAAGCTTCACCCCAAGCCGCAAACCCCATGGGTATCCACACGGAGCAAGTGCCAGTCTGAGCGCAACGTTTCCCCTTTCACCATGCCGTAATCTCGTCGTATTGGGTCACGCCTGGATTTCTGTGACTCTGGCGCGCCGCCCTAGATGCTCCTTCAAGCACAATATTCGTATTCGGCGTTGCGATATCGGATTTTGTCAGGGCCACTGCACTCTACCCATACCCCATGCAACCCTCAACCGGCCACAGAGCACAAACGCCAACAATGGATCGAGTCCTTAATTTAAACTCTAGAAACTCTAGAACCTAAGCCTCGTCCAATTCTTTCATGGATGCCCCCTTAAATTTAAGATCCGTATCCTTATCGACTGCAAGCCCGTGTTTGTCCTTTTCTTCACCAAGAAGCGCTGAAATTGTGTGACGGCAAGTCCTCCTGTCTGTCCTGTTTGGCTTTCTTTGAACGCTTGTAGAAGTACTTCCAACGACACATGGGACTCACATGTAAAGGGGAGGCGTGCTGCTAGGAGACATGACAGCTCGCCTTACGCCAGCCGCAAGCCTTACAGAAGTTGCGTGATGGAAGTTCCCTTGCAGACGTGCATTTGACCCTCAACCCTAAACCCTAATCCCTAAACCCAAAACCCCGCTGTCCCTTTCTAAGGGCCACCCAAGAAAGGGACCCTACCTCCGGGAGCCAGTCTTCTTGGAGTGCACGTTGTTTTTAGGCTTTCGGGTTTAGGGTTTAGGGTTTGGGGTTTAGGGTTTAGGGTTTGGGGTTTAGGGTTTAGGGTTGCAGGAGCTGGAGCGGAACATGCCCAAAGGTGAGGTGGCCCAGCTGGTCCACTCGAACACGTCGCTCGACTACCCTAAGCCGCACATCCGACCCCAGGGCTACACGGGGGTGGGGGGGGTCGTTTTCGAACAGGATTCTCTTTTTTTTGGTGGGTGGGGTTCATGTTCTCGGGGAGTTTGATTCTCAGAAGGAATCCGGGGTAGTCACAGATGTAGGGTTGGAAAGTGCCTTAATCAAGGTTGTTGTATAGGTTGCATGTTTATGTGTATCTGGTGCGTTCCCTAAATTGGGGATGAGCGTGTCTGGTTAATCCTTCGTGCTGAGCCTCATGGCCGGTCCCCAAGTTAGTCTCATTTTTGGGGTGTGCCTGCCATAGTATGGGCCATTGAAAAGGGTACTTGAGAACAAGTCATTGTTTATCATTCATTAAAATAGTCCGCTGAGAAGATTATATTGTATGTGCTGCAAAAGACCCAATAAAACTACTGCATTTCGCTGAGTCTGTTAGCGAGCACCAGGACACAGCTTATGATTGAGGATTTTTCCAGTAGAAGTCTCTTTGCTCTTGTTCACTTGTTCACGCTTTTAAGTACTAAATCCGTGAGTGAAACGAACACTTTTATGAATATAACCCCGAATTGACCATCTATACGTGGGCTCCTATGTTAAACAGGTATCTACAAGGGGGGGACCCCGGTGCACAACGGGGATTGGAGCTTCCCTACCAGTGGTATACAAACCCAGAAGTCGTCAGACGAAGACTTCGGTGACCACCGTGCGTGCAAACAAGATTCCTCAGATGTCCTAGAGCATCTTGCGCTGGGCACGATGCTGCGACGACATCCCGTCATATCCCCTTGAGCTGTGGAGAGGTACAGGTAGAGCCTGTTTTCATGTTGCATGGCAACTTCATGGTAAGTTGGGAGAGCATTTAGGAGATTGGTCTTGCCACGATCGTCATATCCCTCGACAATTAGGAACGACTTCTCTTTTCAATCCTCGCACTCGAAATGGAACCACTTTTTTCTTGTATCCACTACATCAGGACGCCTTGGTCTATTCCTACTTCTCTTTGACACAAGAAATATCAGGATGATCATGGCCGTAATCAGAACAATTAAGAGTTACAGTCCTTGTTGCCTTGATAGTATGGTATCAGCGACTTGGTGCTGACCTCCTGCAAGCTAACCTGTAGTACACCGCACCTGCAGTTGCAGGCTGGCCTCCTGGTTGTGTGAGTCAAGGGTACTTAAGTCCGCCTGACGAGGGCGAACGGCGATGACACGACGTCGAAGCTGTACTTCAGCGACGACGATGCGACTCGCTGCGAGAGCTTGGTTTCCAACAGGGCTTCGGTCTTGGGATTCAGTGCTTCAGAGAATCTGAAAAGCCGTCAACAACCTCACCGCCCGAGAATCCACAGTCCACAAGCGCCGACACCAACCCAAGGCCAGGCGGCACCCCAAATCCCAAACCCATGGCCTGAGATTTGCAACCCGAATCCCTAAACCCGAAGCCCTAAAGCCACAAGGCCGAAGCCCAAAGGTAAACTCTTGAAGCCCTGAGATCCCTAAATCCCTGAAATCCCTTCATTCTAAGGTTGGAACCATGGGCCCTTAGTCTGGTCTTACCCTTGTTTATAGGGATCCGCAGTATGGGCCCTAGCCATTATAACTTTAAACCCTAAACCCTAAACCCTAAACCCTAAACCCTAAACCCTAAACCCTAAGCCCTAAGCCCTAAACCCTAAATGTGTCTTAGAAGGGCTATAGAACGGAAACCTAGATCCCCAAACTCACCCAGGTTCAGGTGGCGAAGTTGTCCCTGGCTCTGCAGTTGAAGCCTTTGGCTTTGCCGGGCCAACCTTCAAGGTTTAGGGTTTAGGGTTTAGGGTTTAGGGTTTAGGGTTTAGGGTTTGGGGTTTGGGCTTTGGGGTTTGGGGTTTTGGGGCTAAGGGTCTGACATTGGGGATTTCTGGTTTTTTGGTTGCTGGGGGTTCGGGGTTGAGGGCTTTGGGGATGTAGGGTCTGGGGTTTGAGGTTTGGGCCCTAGGGCTTCGGGTTGAGCCTAAACCCCCACCCCCAACACTAAAGCCCTAAATCCCGAAACATCGGGATCCCAAAAAGCCCGAAGCCCGAAGCCCCAAATCCCACACCGTCAGGCTCCTGACTCCAGACCAAGCCTTAAGCCCTCAACCTCACGCCCCTAAAATCCCCTATTCCCCAAAGCCCTAAACCCCAAAACCCTAAGCCCCCCCAAAAGGCTTGAACCCCAATCCCTAAGCCCTATAAGACCCCAAACCCCACCCAAACCCAAAACCCCAAAACTCCCAAAATCAAAAAGCCCGAGGCCTTGGAGCAGCTACCCTACGCCCTAAACACTGAACCCTAAACCCCAAACCCTAAACCCTAAACCCTAAACCCCCAAACCCCAAACCCCAAACCGCTCTCAGGATGCTTCAGTGCGCTGCACGGGGCAAGGCCGATCTCCTCGACTTTGAGGCCCAGTCTTCCAGCGTTTCGTTTAGGGTTTAGGGTTTAGGGTTTAGGTTTTAGGGTTCAGGGTTGAGGGTTTAGAGTTTAGTGGGGGTTTCGGGTTTAGGGTTCAGGGTTTAGGGTTTGGGGTTCAGGGTTTAGGGTTCAGGTTCAGGGTTTAGGTTTCAGGGTTGAGGGTTGAGGGTTTAGGGCCTTAGGGTACGGGGTTTAGGGCTTAGGGTTTTGTGGGGGGACTTTGGGGAGATTGGGGTTAACGGTGTTAAGGGTGATGCTTTGGGACTTTCGTGAGGGGGTTTGCAGGTGTAGGGCGTTGAGGGTTTCAGGGTTCCTGGGGGGGAAGGCTTTCACTTGCGGCGTAGGAACCCAAGCCCCTAAACCCGAACACCCTGCCTTAAGACCCCCGTTAGAACTTTACAGCCCTAAAACCTTACACCCCAAAGCCTTAAGACCCGAATATCCCAGGCCCCCCAAACTCCTAAAACTCTGCAGCCCGAAGCTGCAGGACCCCCAAAACCCCAAAGGCGCTTTTTTTTCCCTCAGTCTCTCAACCTTAGAACTCTCAAATCCCAAGACTCTAAAACCTTGAGCCCCCAGCCTACAAGATTTGGTGGAAGCTTGGCTGCAGGGGCCCAGAAGGGACCCCTGAAACTGCTAAAGGGAATCCTGCTCTCTCAAACCCCACATGGCTTAGGGTTTAGGGTTCAGGGCGTAGGGTTTTGGGGTTTAGGGTTCAGGGTTGCGAAGGTGCCGGATGCATGCGAAGCTGCATCATGCCCGATGCCCTGGTGGCACCAAACCCCAACTTGTGCTTGGGATGCTGGCCGCTGGAGTGCTTGTGTCCGGCACTGGCCTCTCCAAATGGACCAGGCCAATGTAGCAGCCGTCTGAACGAGTTGTGCCCGTTTCCAAGACACTCATCGCCCGCAGGTCTTGCGAGAAGTCGCCGGCGTGGTCTGCGGCCCTTGTGCAGAAGCATTCGCTGCATGCTCCATAGCAAACCCTCAACCCTAAACCCTAAACCCTAAACCCTAAACCCTAAACCCTAAACCCTGAACCCTAAACCCTATACCCTATACCCTAAACCCTAAACCCCTACTCCCTGCTGCAGTTGGTCCGACAGGGGCTTGTCAGGGCATCGGGGCTCGGGCATCTGCCCCGGCTCACAAAGTTTGCGTGGAAAGGTCACGTCTACCTTATGGTTGCTGCAGTACAGACGGCGAGGCAGATGCAAACAGCATCATGCGTCTGCCTTGGGAGGGCGACTTCTCAGACATCTGAGAAACATGATGCTGGTTCCGCCTCGAGCTGTGCCGTGCTTGGTCTTCCCAGATAAAAAACACCCCTAAGCCCAAACCGGCCCAAAACCAACAGCCAATCTCCAGGCCCTCATGCCAACCTCTACAATTCCCTCTCCTAAAGCCAGGCCGTTGACCCCTACAAGCTTCTGCATGGCATGCCGGCAACAGAAGTGGCGGAGCCCGGTTAAATTTTGTGCTTCAGGGCTGATTGCACGAGGATCCGGGGTTTGCATTTGCGCGGGGCTTCAGACTTCGCCCTCATGTGCTGGAGTGCGCTTACAGCTGCCTCTGTTCCCGCGCGCCAGGAACAAACAGGTAGGTCCAAACCCTCTCCAAGTTCCGAAGCTGGCTGATTCCTTGAGTTGAACGCGCGCTTGACTTCACCCAGCATTTTCAAGCCGGGCCTCAGCGAAAGCGTCCGAATGCTGCAGCTGGAGGTTTCCTGGCCAACAGAAAACCAAGCCCCGCCTGGAATGTTTGATGCGAACGCCCTCGACATGTAAAGGCTAGAAGGGGCCTATAAAGGGGGTATGGGGGGGGGGGGGGGGGGGCATAAGTGGGGTATGAAGGAGGTATAAGGGGTGGCTCTTAGGACTTTAACCTTTGGGGTTGTTGAAGAAACTACAATACGGAGCCTAAAAGTTAAACTTCCGCAGGGGTTCATAAGTCAGCCAAGCTGTGCTAGCTGGTGAACGCACCCGCAGCCCTGGGAACAACCCGCAGGAGGAGCTGGCGACCTTGCCTCCGAACCCGCATCTGGGCACCTTGGACGAAGCAACCAGGGGGGGTATGGAGTGAGGGTTTAGGGCTTGGGACTTTGTACATAAGAATCTCCATATACCTTCAAGCAAACCCAACACTCCCGACCCCCAAACCCGACCCCTTTCAGAATTCGACAAGAAGCGAACCCCGAGCGTCCGGTTAAACCCTAAACCCTAAACTCTAAACCCCAAACCCCAAACCCAAAACCTCAAACCCCAAACCCCAAACCCCAAACCCCCAAACCCCCAAACCCCTAAACCCTAAACCCCAAACCCTACACCCTTTGAACCCGTGCAGTAGACCTGCTTCGGGGTTGGAGCTCCAAGTCTGAGGTCAAGACCCAAGCCCCAGAAGCCCCAAAGCCCTCGAGCGGCCTCAGACGACGACGCGCTCCACACCCTGGTCGATGAGCACCAGGTCCGGCTGGCGAGGACGCAGGAGAAAGCGAGGCGGCGGGGCGTGCTTCGTGATGGAGTGTTTGTTTTTTTGGGCTTGCTGGGGCGCAGGGCTTCGTGTTTTGGTGCGCTTTTTTTTGGCTTGAGGCTCTAGGTTTTTGCGTGTTTTTGGGTTGAGGGCATTGGGTTTGCGGGCGAACATGTGGCGTATTGAGTTTTGGCCACTGTCAGGCCACATGACGGTTTGGGCTAGACGTACCTTCGGTGAAGTAATTTTGAGAGCAGGGAGGGACTCCATGTTCCCTATGGCAGAGCTTTTGAGCCCTTAGGATCTCATGGAGACCTCTCTGAAATCCTTGTTATATGGCCTTTAGATACCAAACCTTACAACCCTAAACCCTAAACCCTAAACCCTAAACCCTAACCCTGAACCCAAAACCCAAAACCCAAAACCCAAAACCCAAAACCCAAAACCCAAAACCCAAAACCCAAAACCCTAAACCCTAAACCCTAAACCCTAAACCCTAAACCGCTCAGGCCAAGCCAGGATGTCTGGCAGATGCCCGGAGGCATCGAAAGCGCAACCGTCGAGGATCTCTACCGGAAGGACTGCATGGGTTGTTGAATGTTCAGGTTTAGGGGTTTAGGGTTTAGGGTTAAGGGGTCAAGGCTTAGGGTTTACGCGCAGTTGTGGGGGTTGTGAGAGGGTAGTGGTACCTTTAACTTCACGTCGCTCTGCCTTCCTCGAGTTGGCCCGACACGAGCGCGCGCGGGCGAACGAGCGCGCGCAGCGCGAGGAGCTACAGCGCACAAGGCCCACTCTCAGCCCTACATGAGCCACTCCCTAAACCCCATAAGCCCCTCAAATCCGTGAGGAGTTGGAGTTCTATCGGACGGCTGGGCCTGTGGAGTGGCAGCACTCCAAGGAGGGATGGCAGTGGCAGTGGCGTCAGCCTCCGAACCTCGAACATGAGCACGTTTCGGGGTGTGAAGCTTTAGGGTACCGGGTTTTGGGGCTTACCCTGAGTTTTTGAATGCAAGCTTGAGTAGACATTCAACTTTGCACCGAGAATCCTAGGGTTGAAAGATTGAAGTCTGAAGATGTAGGAGGAGTCTTCCATCCCGGGGCTTTTTGACACGAAGTTTGTCTTCCATCTAGGGTGTAGGGAGGCTGTGAAGAGTCATTCTGAGTCCTTCCTTGGGAACCTTCAATCGTTCAAACCAAAGCCTCGACATTCCGGATTGAAGATTCCTCCGAAACTCTTTCCTGGGAACCTTCGATCTTTAACCTTCAATCCCAGGATTACAAAAAAAGCACGCCTGAAAGGACAGTGGTCACTGTTTATTGTTCAACAATGGCGGCTAACCCCTCTAAACCCTCTAAACCCTCTAAACCCTCTAAACCCTCTAAACCCTCTAAACCCTCTAAACCCTCTAAACCCTCTAAACCCTCTAAACCCTCTAAACCCTCTAAACCCTCTCAACCCTCTCAACCCTCTCAACCCTCTAAACCCTCTCAACCCTCTCAACCCTCTCAACCCCCCCCCAAACCTCGTAAACCTGAACCCGGCACAGGAAAGCCTTTGCCAGTGACAATCTGTGCAGGGCATGTGGGGCAGCTCCCTCCCATAGCCTGCTGCCCCAAGGAACACCTTCTGGGACGAGAGGCTGGGCTGCTGAAGCCTGGGGTTTAGGGTTTAGGGTTTAGGGTTTAGGGTTCAGGGTTCAGGGTTCAGGGTTTAGGGTTTAGGGTTTAGGGTTCAGGGTTCAGGGTTCAGGGTTTAGGGGTGTAGGGTTTTTTGCAAGGGGTGTCGGCTCCCCAAAGTGAAAGTTCAGGCGGAAGGTCTACATCCAGGAGCAGAAGGGCATCGACCCAAACCTAGCTCCTTGGCCAATTTTGGGGGATGCTGAAGACTTGTATCTTCACATGAAGTAGGGTGGGTACAAGAAATATAAACCCTACTTCATATGGTTTTTGGGGCTTCAGCTGTCAGGTGTTCAGGCCACGAATGAAGCAGTGAGTTGAGCCTTGTGAGAAGCTTTCCCCAAGCTCCAAGACGTGCTACGCTCCCCCAAAAATGCAACTTGCAAACCCGATCCTTCTCCAAAGGGTCAGATATAGGGTTTAGGGTTCAGGGGCTTTGGTCCACTTATTACTAACACTATTGTTGGAAGTCGGTACCCTAGGCACTATACCAGACTTCGTTGTGCAGGGAAGATTTCGGAGTTGCAGAGGGCCGCCTAGAAAAAGCGGCGCTCCTGATTTCCAACCAGATACGAACTTTTCTTCACAGGATGGTGACTTCGCTGTAGAAGGAGGATTTCGGAGTTGCAGAGGCCCCCCCCCCCCCCCCCCCCCCCAAGAACAAAAAGAAATAAAGAATAACAAAAAAGAGCACCCTGCCAGACATGTAGATCGAAGTCGGGTTCCCAGATGCTTACTTCCGGAAAGTGGGCTCGCTCGCCTTCAACCCTAGACCGAGTTGAGTTAACCCTAAACCCTAAACCCTAAACCCTAAACCCCAAACCCCAAACCCCAAACCCCAAACCCCAAACCCTTAAGAGCGGCTCATCTGTTTTTTTTTTTGTTGCGCGGCAGCCCAGGAGCTTCGGGAGATGCGCCAGCACATGCTGGACGTTCGCCGCATGCGCGGCGTGGCTTTTGAAAGCGGGGGGGGGCTTGCTGAAGAACCTTTACAACGCCAAAAAAAGAACCATTTAGTTTTTTTTTTTAAAGGTTTTTTTTAAGGTTTTTTGACCTTAAAGACCACCTTTAAAAGCCATAGATGCTTCCGGTAGAAGGAGGAGCCCAAGAGCAGAAAAGCAGAGCCGAGTTTAGACCAGTAGCCCAAGGAGATCGCAGCGGTGAAAGCTTGCTCCGAAGAATGGTCTTGGGGTTGAGCCTGCAAGTCCCAGACCCCACATGCCTGAGGGTTTAGGGTTTAGGGTTTAGGGTTTAGGGTTTAGGGTTTAGGGTTTAGGGTTTAGGGTTTAGGGTTTAGGGTTTTACATGCAACACCTCCAGGAAGTATGTGCGCAGTCGGGCGCGTCATCTACTTCCGCGCCCTCGTCGTGGCTGCGCCCTCAGTCGGGGGCGCACACCAAGATCGAAATGCCCCACAGGCGTTACTTGGGCGGCGGGGTGGGACACTTCATAACTGGGGTAGAAGTAGCAAGCTTTGGCACAAGTTCAATGCATCGCAATAATTGAAGGCCGGTCACTCAGTCTGCCTCCTAAACCCTGAACCCCAAACCCGACAGGGCCTAGCAGTTTGTAGCAGGGTTTAATAGGTTCCGGGTTTCGGTTGAGGATTTCGGGCTTCGGTTTTCGGGAAAGCCTAGGCCCTAACAGCGACACCCGACAAATTTTACGCTAAACCCCAAACCTTAAGGCCCGATGCTCTCTACCAACCCTAAGCCGAATCCTGAAACCCTCAGGCCCTGCACCCTAAATCCGCAACCCTGAGCCCCAAAAGTTGCTTCTGAACCTCCCGAAGCCCTCAACACCCTAAACCCTAAACCCTAAACCCTAAACCCTAAACCCTAAATCCTAAATCCTACATCCTAAACCCTGCTCCCGTCCCCCCGCGTCGCAAGGTCGGCAACGGCAAGGGCGTCTACGGCTTCGGCATCGGCTTCGGCAACACTCCCAAGGCCGCCAAAGAGACGATGATCGTATGAACTCTGAACTTTAGAACGTATATAGGGTTTAGGGTTTTGGTTTAGGGTTTAGGGTTTAGGGTTTAGGGTTTAGGGTTTCGGGTTTAGAGTTTAGGGTTTAGGGTTTAGGTTAGAACTTATATGGGTGGCTGTCAAAATTATGATCCCAAAACCAACAGGGTACCCTAAATATTAGGCGCCGTGGCACAATAGGGATCCAAAAAGGGACCATAATTTTGACAACCAACCGTCTAGGGTTTAGGCTTTAGAGTGTTCGGGTTTTGGGGTTGCTGCAGGGCTGACTTCGGGCCCATGTTTATTCTGGACCCCGACATCGATGTCGTATCCTTCAAGCCGGCTCTGCTCTTCGGGTTCGGGGTTGACGGTTTCGGGTTTAGGGTTTAGGTTCTCGGGTTTCGAGCATGTTTTCGACCCGATACAAGATCCCGATCGGTTCGCCGAGGAATGCTTTCAACGTTTCAGAGGAGCAAGTGCTCTGAATCGCTCCTTCATGACTTTGGGGTGCTCGCAGCCAAAGTTGCACATGATATTGGGTGCAAATTAACCTCCATGACGGCTTGCGCGGCGGGCCCTTTTGCCCTGAGGTCCGTCCTGAAGCGCGCAAGACAATGTTACAACAGCCAAGCCAGACATGGAAAGCGCAACGAGCATTGGGCAGCCGTACATCAGGCCTGGCACACCCTAAGCCCCGGGCTTTGGGGCTCTAGAGCTTTCGGGCTATAAGTCCTGAGCCTCAACTGAGTTTAGGCACAGGCTTGCAGAATTACCACATCCGACGGTTAAACATGTGAATTGGCCACAAACGAACAGCACAGCTAAAATGTGCAGCCAGCTGGCTGCCGACTCAGTTGCATGTGCGCGATGCATGTCGCAAAGACCTCGCGGGTGCATCGTTGATTGCAACTTCATCTGCGCGTTCCTCTGATTCTCCATACGTAGCACATGGATGATGCTCCTGTCGAGTATCATTCGGCAAAAGACTGGCCAAGGTTCTTGAGCTATCCGTCCGAGGGCTTTGTATGATGGACCTCAAGTCATAGATTCCAACAACATCAGAGGGTTTCCCATATAAAGGGGCCAAACAATTTGAAGCTGTTGCTTTGGTTCCTTGGATCAATCCGGCTACTGTTCGCCCCAGATCAATGTCGCCCGACCCACGCCAGAATAAGCCCTCGAACCCACTGCGCCCAATGAATCCGCTGCATGCCACGGCTCTGACTCAGACAGTCCGTACACGTCACAGGCTTGCTCGCAGCAGATAAAAGCAAACATGACCTCGCGCGACGAGGAGTCTGTTTCCGGTCTGATAGGCCTGAGTCAACCAGAGAAGCGTCACCTCGAAGCAGTGCTGCTTTAAGCACAGCCCTCAGCCCTCAGCCCTCAGCCCTCAGCCCTCAACCCTCAACCCTAAACCCTAAACCCTAAACCCTAAACCCTAAACCCTAAACCCTAAACCCTAAACCCTAAACCCTAAACCCTAAACCCTAAACCCTAAATCCTAAACTGCCTAAATCCCAAATTCCCCCCAAGGCCCCCCGCCCCCCCCCAAAGTGCCCCCGTGCAGAGGAGAGCCGCACCGACGCCATGCTGAAGGCGATGCAGCCACTGGGAGATGAAGGTTGAAGGCTTGAGATGTTTTGGGGGTTTAGGGGTTTAGGGGTTTAGGGTTTAGGGTTTCGGGTTTAGGGGTTTAGGGTTTAGGGTTTAGGGTTTAGGGTTTAGGGGTTTAGGGGTTTAGGGGTTTAGGGGTTTAGGGTTTAGGGTTTAGGGGTTTAGGGGTTTAGGGTTTAGGGTTTAGGGGTTTAGGGTTTAGGGTTTAGGGTTTAGGGCGCACCTGGGGTTCTCTGACCTCTGGTCCCTTTTGGGGTTTCCCTCATCATACGGAGCCCTGTAACGACGGGGCACCCATCATCTGGAGAATCTCCCAACTTGGGGTTTAGGGTTCAGGGTTTTGGGTTTAGGGTTCAGGGTTTTGGGTTCAGGGTTTTGGGTTTAGGGTTCAGGGTTTTGGGTTTAGTGTTCAGGGGTTTGTTGGGCTTGTGTTTTTTTTGGGCTTGGAGTTTCAGGGATGGGGGCGTGTGGTTGGGGGGTTGAGGGCTTTTAAGGGTTCAGGATTTGGGGGATGGAGGGCTCTGGGTTTCGAGGTTTGAGGCTTCAGCCGAAACCCCGAACCTGGGAGCAGAGGAGGTTGGGGGGGGTCTTTGTCACCTTCCCTGCAAACAACAGTTGCAACGTCAAGGTTCTGGCTCGAGGTTTTGAGGCTTCGGATCGGGGTTTAGGGATTTCGGGATTGTGGTTAAACCCCCAAACCCTAAACCCCCAACCTTAAACCCTAAACCCTTTAGGCCTTCGTGGCTTTGTGGCGTTCGGGTGTTTTAGGGTTCCCGGGCTCGAAGGGGTATTGGGCTTTTGGGCTGAAACGGTTAGTTAAGAGGGGAGTTTGAGAGGCATTTATTCGGGTCTCGGTGCTTTTTTAAGGACACGGGCGGGGTAGCTTTGTTGAGCAGACAGCCCCGCCTGCAACATCAAAACTGGGGTCCTAAAACCTCAAGGCTCCTAAGTCCCTAAACCCTAAACCCTAAACCCTAAACCCTAAACCCTAAACCCTAAACCCTAAACCCTAAGTCCCGAGCCCTCAATACCGAGGAATTTGGACTACATCGATTTCGACCCTGGCCGCATGCTGACCACGCCTTGCCCCTTTGCAAGAGCATCCCTTTCTTCGTGAAGTCTGCGGGTCCCTGAAGTTTCGGGGTTTAGGGTTTAGGGTTTTGGGGTTTAGGGTTTAGGGTTTAGGGTTTTGGGGTTTAGGGTTTAGGGGTTTAGGCTTTAGGGCCCCTGGGGTTTCGGGGTTTGGGGGTTTGCTGCTTTCCTGCAGTGCGGCCGTTGACGACAGAATTGAATTGACTGTGGACAGTTTCCTCCGCTAGGTTGTGGGCTGATAGTTTCATGGTCCCTTAGTATGGGCTTTTTATGGTCCCTTAGTATGGGCTTTTAAAGGGGGACCCCCTGTATTTACACCTTACATACCCTACACAACCCAAGGGCCCATACTTCAGAACCCTCTGAAGGAGGTAAGAGACCATATTAAAGGCCCATATGACTACCCTTAGATAAGCAGACTTCGCAGGTCTTTCTTATTATGGTGCTTCATGGTTGAATAAAACGATGCTGTTCAGCGGGCGCTTTCTTCTCAGTGCTCGGCACATGATAAGTTGCCCGCAGCCCCGCGTTCTGTGAGCTGTGCCCGGAAGACGGCTGAAGGACAACTCCTTCATCTTTGCTGTATTGGCCTGACCCAAGCCCCTAAACTCTAAACCCTTGCCCACAAAACCTTCGAACCCCGAAGCCCGCCCATAGACCCTTAAGCCACAAAAGCCCTAAACCCCGAAGGACCCGAATACTGAACCCATCGTCTAACTTGCAACAAAAGCAGCGTGACAGGAAATGTTTACAGGTTTTTGGGGTCGAGGTGAAAGTCTAGGTTCTATTCCCCGAAGCTGCGCGCATTAAATTCCCCCGTAACGGGGGTGATGTGCTTTCTAGATCCTCCAAGGCCTGTTTTTGGTCCCAAGATCTTGCCCCTAAACGCCTTAACCCGAAGCCCCTCAAGCAGAGCCCAAAAGTCCCAAAGTCTAATGGCGAGGCAAAGGCACGGAGTACAAGCACGAAATGACGATTATCCCACGGCCCATTGGTCGCGGGTTAAAGTGCAACAAGAAGTTCCTGCCGATCCCTGGGCCGCAGGGGAGCAGGTTTCAGGGTTCGTCTCCAAAGCCCCTGGGATTTAGGGTTTGGGGTTTACCTTGGGTGCCCCCCAATTTAAGGGGTTGCCAGGTTACACGACCCCCCCCCCCCAAAAAAAAAAAAAAGAAACACGCAGAGGAAGTGTAGACGGGTCTCGGGACCAGGGCTTTCTTGCAGGTTCACAGTGAGTCAGTTATTCTACGTGAACTTTCAATACGGGGTTGCCTTGCTTGTACCTGTACTGTACATGCTCTGCAATTCGCCTGCAAGCTGGGGGTCAGGGCGAGGGTCTAGGACTGAAGTGTTTGGGGCTTTCATGTTTTGGGGCTTGAGGGGCCGTGGGATGGACAGCAAACGGAAGAGCACCCTGTTCCCCAACCCTGAAGCCTAAACCCTAATGCTTAAACCCTAAACCCCTAAACCCCTAAACCCCCAAACCCCTAAACCCCTAAACCCCTAAACCCCTAAACCCCTAAACCCCAAACCCCAAACCCCAAACCCTGAAGCCGACTCTCCCACCCTGATGCCTTGCCCCTGCAGGGTCGAGGTTTCTAACATCTAGGTTTATGTGCCCTTCGGGGCCTGCGGCCCCTAATTCGGAATAGTTGAGGGCGGGGGCCAGTCTTGGTAGGGTGTCCCTGAGCCCCTAAACGTGTCGCGGGTTCAGGGTTTCGGGTGTCGGTTTGTTTCGTGGTAGGGAAGGAGAGAGCTGGAAGAGGAGTGGAAGAGGAGGGGGCGAGGAGGACACCTGGTGTTGCAGAAAGGAGTCCTTTTGGGCCGTAAAAACATATGCAAGCCCTTCGAAACCCCGAAGCGCCAAATTCTCAGCCCCAAAGCCCCACGCCTTAAACCCTTAACCCCTAAACCCCTAAACCCTGAAACCCTAAACCCTGAAACCCTGAAACCCTAAACCCTAAACCCCAAAACCCTGAAACCCTAAAGCCGAACTCGCAAGATGCCCATGAGCCGAGTTTGCTATACATCCTCGGCTTCAACAACATGAAGGCGCTTCTGAGGTTGGGTTTAGGGTTTAGGGTTTAGGGTTTAGGGTTTAGGGTTTAGGGTTTAGGGGTTAGGGTTTAGGGTTTAGGGTTTCAGGGAACCGGATGGCTCTGGAACCCTAAACCCTAAACCCTAAACCCTACCCCAAACCTGGAACAAGAGCTAAGTTCGGCATGTTCACGCGTTCAAGGCGGGGTGGGGTGTGTGGGTGTACTCTTGTGGTCAAGGGTGCGCTGTCTGTTCATTGTCCCGTGTGCCCTAAACCCTGAATCCCAAAGCCCCTAGTGCTCTTGATGGATGCACGCAACTACAGGGGGGGGGGAGGGAGGAGACTGCAGGGGGGCAATAGACCCCGTGCGGGCCTGGAGATGCACCCATGCGCTTCAAGCGACTAGGGAAGCCGCAAAGCTCAAAGGAGATGTTGGGTGGAAAAGAGCCCGACGTCCCGCGGGCCTCAACCTTCAAACAACGCGGGTGTAGGGTTTAGGTTTACGAAGTCTACAGCCTCAAAGCCCAAAGCTATTGGCCCCCCTGAAGACTGAACCCTCAAATGCTCAAGCCATCAAGTCTCATACTTTCAGCCCTAAGCCCTCCTACCCTAAACCCCCCTCAGCCCCCAAACAGTATAGGGTTTTTAGGTTGGTGTGTTCCCCTTATACTAACGGCCCTGAATAGGGATTATCACAAGGGGTACTAGAATCCCCTAAAAAAAGCCCCCCTCAGCCCCAGAAGCCCTCATTCCAAAAGGTCAAGTTCATGCACCAAGAGTGGTTCACGCGGGTCAAGGCCATCAAGCGTTGTCTTGACAAGGTGCCGAGGGCTGGGAAGATTCTCAATTTATTAAGTACATGACTACTCTCAGTCATATTTATAGTATGTGTAGTATTTGTAAGAATAGTATTTGTAGTACTTGTCAGAGTATGGATCATACAGATACTGCTACGAAATATTTCGCATCTTAACAGCATTGGTAACATAAATAGTATTAATGATATCAGTAGGGGCTTGGAGCCCGGGCTTTTGTTGTTGTTTTTTTTTGTTTTTCTTTTTTTGCGGGGGCTTCGGGTTTGGGTTTGAGGGTTTGGGGTTTAGGGTCAGGCGCGGATGTCCAAGAGCTGGCTGGCAGGTCATGTCACGCAGGACGCTGGCCAACATGACGGGGAAGAGGCCTTCCGTTTTGTGTTAGGTCGAGAGATTCGGGGGCCTAAGCCCTAAACCCTAAACCCTAAACCCTAAACCCTAAACCCTAAACCCTAAACCTTAAACCCTAAACCCTAAACCCTAAACCCTACACCCTAAACCCTAAACCCTAAACCCAACACCCTAAACCCTAAACCCTAAACCCTAAACCCCAAACCCAAATGTTGGACCCTCTTCTGCCCTCTGAGTGAAGCTTCGCACTTCGTCCCCGATAAGGGTTTAGGGTTTAGGGTTGAGGGTTTAGGGTTGAGGGTTTAGGGTTTAGGGTTTAAGGATCAAGTACGGTTAAAGGTTTGACGATAAGGGTCTTCGGATGTAATTCCCCCGCGCCTGACACGCGACCAAAACCCACCTACTCCCAGTCAGATCCGGGCTTGCGATTCTAGGGTTCACAGTTCACGGCTTGGTAGGACTGCGGGTGTCAGTAGCAGGGTGTAGGAAGTTTAGGGTGGCTTTGAGGGTCTAGGGTTCAGGGGGTTAGGGTTCAGGGGTTAGGGTTCAGGGTTTCGGGCTCAGGGCCCCATGTCGCCCCAAAGTCCCACGGAAACACCGCGAGTTTTTGGCTGGAGCTCCCTCTCAGCTGGGAGAAAAGCCACTCCTGTTGGGAGGAGGCGCTTCAGCACCGAACCCCCTAGCTCGGCTAGTGCCCCCCTTCGGGAGCGAACCCAACTCAGAGCACCACGAAAGACAGAAGCCATCCCCAGCCACACCGCGCACTCAGAGTAGGGACCCTCGACCTCTTTCAGCAGGATGGGGCCTCAGAAATATACCAGGAACAGACCCTCCTAGATCGTTAACGACATCTTTACCACATGCATGACCCAAGTTGCAAGTAAGCCAAAGCAGATTGCTCCCGTCGGGCTTTTAAACTTCCCCACCGTTGTGTGGAGGGGGAGGAACAGGGCAGTTTTCAGCCGGGACATCCAGCGGTCCCACGGAGAGACACCTGGGGCATCCCTGAAAGGGAGCTTCTCTCTCTCTCACGGTCTCTCTCATTGTAGCCTCTTGGCAGAAGTAGGGGGGGGGGGGAGGGTGGCGGTTTCGGGTTTGGGGAGTACCCTGTGCTTTTGCAGGGCTCAGTGGGGATGCGGTGTAGACCCTATCCAAATCCTAAGCCCAAGACCTCATCGCAAAGCCCTGTAAGCTTTAGAACTTCTGCGCCCTCAATTTTTTTGTAGCTGTTGTTACGGCACAGGCTTCTGCGCCGTCTGTGGGCTCTAAGCCCTGAAGCCGCCTCTTCGTTTTCCCTTAGAGCTCTGGACCAATGAACCTTGAAGTACACCTTTGCATCGAGGAAGTGATGAACGCATGGCTCCGGTTTTGAAAGTTTAGGGTTTTTCGTCCGACCCGACCAAGCCCTAACAAACACCCTCAACACTCCCAACAGCACCCCAACAGCACCCCAACAGCACCCCAACAGCACCCCCAACAGCACCCCCCTACTCGCAGACCCGTAAGAGCTGCATCGACTACCCAAGGCGCAACCATGGCTCTGCTTGCCATCCTCCTCCTTCTCGCCGGTGCTGGCGTGGTGCAAAGTCACCAGACCCAGGCAAGGCGATGTGTTACCCCCTGAACCCTAAATCCTAGGGTTGGGATCTTCTGGGTTCGTAGGGTCTTTTTGTAAGGTAAGAAGGTGTCTAGGATGTATAGGCTGTACAGGTGTTGCAGATTTATGAGGTTAGATTTATGAGGTTCCGGGAGGCGCGAAAGGGGTCAGGGGATTTAGTGGCGTCGCATAATTTTTCTGCGAGTTTTCTCTCCCAAAGCCCGCGCGATTCCAGGCAGATCCTAAACCCTAAACCCTAAGTGCAAAACCCAGGCAGATCCTGGGGACAAGTCCCTTTGGCTGGCACGGAGGGTCTGCGGGAGTTTGGGTTGCGAGGGGGGGGGGGGAGGTTGGGGAGTGGGAGGTTGGGGTGGTTGGGGGGGGGGGGAGGCTTTCAAGTTGGGGTTTGGGGGAAAAGTGTGGGGCTTTGGCCTTCAGGGTTAGAATCGTTTCGGGACTTGCGAAAAATTGAGGGCCTGAACCCTCGAGCCCGTGGTGGACTCACCAAGGTTCACGCCACCAAGCCTTGTCATGGAGCGCGTCGCCTTCCTGAGTGGAAAGATCGGAGTCTTCGTCCAAGTGGGCACCGGTGAAGCCGCAGAGTCGCAAACAAGCCCTCTTGCGAACGGGTTTGCCTAGACCCGAGTGTAGGGTTTAGGGTTTAGGGTTTATGGGTTAGGGTTTCCCAAGAACCAGAACTCGAAGCACGGCGTCAGATGCTGCAATCCAAAACCAGACATCGTCGCCGAAAACCTGGACCCCTACAAGCCCTATCCGCCCTACACCCTAGAGCCCAGACACGAGGTTTGGCCTGAGATGGAGAGCTGTGTCTCGAACGTCCTTGCAGCCTCGGACGACCGTGTCACGGCCAGATCTATTGCTTCTTAAGGTTCTTGTCTTCGGCTCAGGGCGCTGGGGGTCAGATGTGATAAGCTGTATAGACTCGTAATCCTTAAGCCCCCAGATCCGAAGACCGAAGCCCCCTGAACCTGAACTGCTAGTCCAAAACCCTAGCTTCCTAAAGCAGTTCGCCGCAGAAGGCAAACCAGTTCTGCAGAATAATCGCAAAGGGTCGAAGGGTCGGGGGTCGAGGGGATGCAACGGGTCGCTTTCACTTCTTTCAGTGGTGGTTTGGGGCCGGCTCCAAATCTGAAAGCCCAAGCCGTAAATCTCTCTCTCTCTCTCTCTCTCTCTCTCTCTCTCTCTCTGTCTCTCTCTTAAGACTCCCACCCTTAGGGTTTAGGCTTAGGGTTTAGGGTTTAGGGTTTAGGGTTTAGGGTTTAGGGTTTAGGGTTTAGGGTTCAGGGTTTAGGCACCCCGCGCCCCTCTTGAGGCGGCAAGGCCGCTGGACCAAATGTCATAAACACAACCCTAAACCCTAACCCCTAGCCCCTAAACCCTAAACCCTAAACCCTAAACCCTAGTAGTAGAGTAGGTAACCTTTAACTTTTTGTTGGTCTTCTAATCCCTATAAAATCCAAAAGGCTAACCCTGAATTCCCCCAGGTTACTGGACGACTGAGTTCCCTATCTGTTGGAGTCTGAACTTCAGGCTTGCCCTGGTGGCTATCCTCTAGGAACCTTGGGTGGCCTCGGGGGGGGGGGGGGTTCGGAGGGGCCCTAAAAAAGGGAGCGTGGCTGTGGTGAAGCGGGAAAGGGCGGTCTTTAGAAGCCCTAAGCCCCTAAAACCTAAATCCTCACCTGGGACTTAGACCTCGTAGCCGCGGGGCAGCGCCCACAGTCGCGTGGTGAGCCGAGGCATCGGAATTCACATCGACTACGTGGAGGCCGTACCCGAGCTCTGTCACAATCTCTGAACAAAGCCCTTAAAACACTCTAAACCTATGCGCCCGTAGTCTGGCATGTCGACTGAGGCAATAGACCCTCACAGCCCTGAACCCCCATGACGGCTCGATTTTTAGTGGCTCATGCGGCGCGTGGATCAGGCCGCGGCGCCTTCCCACTCTGTGATGCATCAGCTCTCGGGATACATGAGGCTCGGGCCATTGCCCTAACCCCGAAACCCCGAACCCCGAAACCCCAAAAACCCCAAGACCCCGAAACCCCCAAAACCGCTGAAGGTGGGTGTAAGTTCTTTCGGTGAGGGCTCCAGGGTTCTGGGTTCGAGGACTTCGTGTTTACGTTTCGGAGGAGGCTCTCGGGTCTTAAGCCCCCATGGCCTGAACCTCAAGCTTCGATCACCTTGCAACCCTGAAGCGCTAAGAAAAGGAGCCCTGCTCAGCCCCGAAACCCTAAACCCTAAACCCTAAACCCTAAACCCTAAACCCTAAACCCTAAACCCTAAACCCTAAACCTCTCTTACCTATATATATTTAAACCCTATAGTCAAAAAAACGAGGGGCCCTGTTGGGCACTCAAGGGTCCGGCCTTGTCCTGGCCCGCGCGCGCGCGGGCCTTGGCCTTGGTTTTGGCCCTTCTAGATCGACCGGCCCTGTTGGGCACTCAAGGGTCTGGCCTTGTCCTGGCCCGCGCGCGCGGGCGGCCTTGGCCTTGGTTTTGGCCCTTCCGGATCGACCGGCCCTGTTGGGCACTCAAGGGGGTCTGGCCTTGTCCTGGCCCGCGCGCGGGCGGCCTTGGCCTTGGTTTTGGCCCTTCCAGATCGACCGGCCCTGTTGGGCACTCAAGGGGGTCTGGCCTTGTCCTGGCCCGCGCGCGGGCGGCCTTGGCCTTGGTTTTGGCCCTTCCAGATCGACCGGCCCTGTTGGGCACTCAAGGGTCTGGCCTTGTCCTGGCCCACACGCGGGCGGCCTTGGCCTTGGTTTTGGCCCTTCCAGATCGACCGGCCCTGTTGGGCACTCAAGGGGGTCTGGCCTTGTCCTGGCCAGCGCACAGGCGGCCTTGGCCTTGGTTTTGGCCCTTCCAGATCGACCGGCCCTGTTGGGCACTCAAGCTGGCCTTGTCCTGGCCCGTGCGCGCGGGCGGCTTGGCCTTGGTTTTGGCCCTTCCGGATCGACCGGCCCTGTTGGGCACTCAAGGGTCTGGCCTTGTCCTGGCCCGCGCGCGGGCGGCCTTGGCCTTGGTTTTGGCCCTTCCAGATCGACCGGCCCTGTTGGGCACTCAAGGGGGTCTGGCCTTGTCCTGGCCCGCGCGCGGGCGGCCTTGGCCTTGGTTTTGGCCCTTCCAGATCGACCGGCCCTGTTGGGCACTCAAGGGTCTGGCCTTGTCCTGGCCCGCGCGCGGGCGGCCTTGGCCTTGGTTTTGGCCCTTCCAGATCGACCGGCCCTGTTGGGCACTCAAGGTCTGGCCTTGTCCTGGCCCGCGCGCACGCGCGGGCCTTGGCTTTTTCAAGGTTTTTCAAGGTTTTTCAGAGTTTTTCAGTGTTTTTTTTAATGGTTTTCAATGTTTTTCAGGGTGTTTCAGGGTTTGTAACCCTCAATTCTGATGAAGGGCCGCCCCCG